AAATTTTCAACCGATCATACAACTAACAGGAATTAAAATTAATATTATTATGAAGAATGATACTAGAGGCGAGAAAACTAATAAATAATGTGAGATGACATAAAGAATATGTGGTGAAGAGGAAATATTCAACCGGTCATTTAATAGATACACTGCCACGTGCAGCAGTGACGGACACATACCATTTGACCAACTGCAGTTGTAACAACAGAAGTTATATTTCCAAAACACAATCCTGGTGCCTCGATCACTCCAGATTGTTCAATCACCTGGAGGAATTATAGCATGATAAGCAAAGCAGAAGATAAGATTCCAAGATACCACATAACCTCTAGAGCTCAATCTCAGAGTATCATTACATAGGTGATGGTATGCCTTTCCCCAGAAGAGACAACAAATGAAAAGAATGAAACCATGAAGCAAATATCTATTTTAGATAAAAACTGTAACATCAGACTGCAAATATTATGACATCCATCTCATCAAAATTAACTTAGAAGACAGACCAAGGACCATTGCCTACAACAAGAAGTTGATGCCAGATGATCCTAATTACTACTAATGATGCCACATTACTTCTTCGCCCTCTACATGACATACAATTTGGCAGTAAACTTTAATTAGACTGAGAAATGTGCATACCATTGACTCGCTGATCCAACCCGAGCACTTTATTTAATACCATCACAAATAAAAAAATTCATATTATTTTGATAGCTTATAGTAGTAACATTGTTTAACATACTTGAGCAAGAGACAGCATGAATGGTCTAGACAAAAGACTTTGTTTCTCACATTTCCAAATGCAGTAATCAAAAGTAAGATAGTAGTTTCTGTTGTGTTGAGTGAAACCCTCCGCCAGCATCACCTAGTTATCCTTACAAACAAATCAATATTTCCAATTCAAACTGTCTTACAGTAGTTGATACATAACTACTCTAAACATCTCCAATCTCCCCCATAAATCAACACACATTCTCTAATAAGCGATCAAATAATCCTCCACGAGAAAAAATAGCTACTACTTCGATATGTTAAACTGAAAGCAGCCGAAGTGAGGAACAAGCAGGAGAAAAGGCAAATACCATAAACTAGAAAATAAGATTACCATGTTTCCCTCTGCATCCTGCTCAGAGGCAAGGTCTTGGAGGAACCAGACGGCACTTCCACTGTCTCCAACATCGTGCTTGAAATCTAAAAGCTCAAAGATCAAGCTTTCATCCCGAGATGGATCCACAAACACTTCCTTTGAACCCCATCACAAATAAATTTTTTACAAAAAAATAACACTAGCGATTTGGCAAACTCTATGGATTCAAAACTATAAAATGAAGTTAATTTTCTTCATAGAAGCATCAAGTGCTACCAACCTGATGATCGGGGACTTGTCGGATGTTGCTCACGTCCTACAATTACAACAATCATAAGTTAAGTATATAAATTCCATCAATCAAATAAAGAAAAAATAGTGATACACCGAATAGTAAAGAGGCAGAATCGCAGATGACAAGACAAACCTGGAACCTAAGAGGGAATGTGCTAACTATAGCGCCCCCGAATAGGGGACGCTCTGAAGAGAAATCTTCCGGCATTTTTATCAAACCCCAATTGCTCCTACATTCAAAACATAATGGGGAAAACAATCAAACAGGAAAGAGATGTCCTCATTCTTTATCTATTAAGCAGAAAATAAGGCTGGAACTTCAAATTCTTGTTTAATTGGACTGTACCTGTGTATCCAAAAGCGAAGAATGGAAGCAGAAGACTCTACAGTAGCGGTGGAAGTTTCTCAAGAGCTCGCGGTGCGCTTATGTATGAGACCGAGACTGCAAGCGTCGTTTCCACGCTGCTTGGAAACTACGCTTTGCGATCGAGAGACGAGGGTATTAGTGGCAAGGGAAATTGGGATTTGTGAACGTTTTTTTAATTCAATTTTGATTTTTGTCCCCCTCACAAATTATCTGATAATAGATTACATAAATGTCCAAATTAAAAAAAAAAAAAAAAAATTGCACGCTATCCCAGATCGAGATTCCACAATCCCAAAATTGTCAATTCCTTTTTTTTTCCGATTTGGACATTTATTCTATCTTTGTTAATTAAATATTGGATAATTTTACCATTTTATAATTTATTTTTTCAAATTAAAAAGTTAGATTTTTTCCATATTAGTTTTGTAATTGAAAAAAAAATATCAATCAAATTAAAAGGTTAAAAGGTTAGATTTTGTAGGGTGAGTTTTAAGATGAAAGATTGGTGGAGCGAACAAGATTGGTAAGAAATTTACTTTTTGAAAATGTAGACATTTTAGTAACTTTAGGAAGCCAAAAAGCGAAAATGAGTAACAAATTAAAATGAAAGGCACAAATAAATTTAAAAACAAAATGAGTCAAAAGTTCAAATGGAATGAAGCAAATGGTCAAAATCCCAATATTTGTGGTGGTAAAGCGATGAAGTTCTCTCTTACATGTGGCAAGCCGTGATTTGGGTCATGATTTTGGTCGGTTTAGGACTAAATTGAAACTAATCCAGACAGAACCAAAAATAAATAAATAGACAAATCCATCGATAGAGGGTAAAAATTGAACCGACAAATTCCCATTGTAAGGTTTTTTCTAGTACACCCATACCCAAAGTTGAATTAAGAGACGTTTCAAAAAAAAAAAATGAGGGAGAATGTTAGAATAATAATGTGAGAAAAATACTAGGAATTTGTGTGTCTAGTTAACTATATTTAATATTTTCTTATGGATATCGGATATCTTATATCTATATCTATACTATATTAAAAAGTGAGAATCTTGGAAAAATATTTTTGGACTATTATATCCTTCCTTTCATTTATAAATTTACAAACCATGCCATAGAAAATTAATTAATTAATTATCAATAATAAACATTTACTTAATTATTAACCATAACAATTAAACGGAATTCAAAAAGATGGAATATGGAAACGGGTGTTATTTCATAATTATTTGCACTAATAATAATGAATAATAAAATGTCAAAAGTTGTAGAATTCTAAAAGATTTGTAACATCTTCGTCTTATACCTATATAAATAGGCATTTTCCTCCACCATTTTTAACCAAATACTCAAAGCTACATTTTTTCATTCTTTTTGGTTCTCCATCTGTTTTCTTGCTTTCAATATCTCTCTAATCTTGAAAGCAATTCAAGACATACATATACATTCAAGTTGTAACGAAATTTATATATCAAAGCTCTATCTTGATTTGTAAGTTTGTATAGTTATAATTTTGCTTTTATGAAGTTACATAACGATGTTTGTCTAATAAGACCAATCTATCTCCAAGGATGTGTGTATTGATTTAGTTTTTAACTTTTTTTTTGTTTTTGTTTTGTTACCATTGTTCTATTTTTGTTTTATAATTGCTATATTATTATTTTATTTTTTTGTATTTCGTAATGTCTTATAGCTTCAAATGTTTATTAGATATTGAAAAAATATGTCTAGACTATTATAATCTTTTTTAATTTATAAATTTACAAAACATGTCATAGAAAAGTAATGGTAAATAGTAAATTAATTAATAAATTTTAAATAGTAAATATCAAAATATAAGGAAAAAAAGAAAAAGAAACAAAAAAAAAATTAAGAAAAGGAAATAAGTCAGATATGAGTACTAACCAATCTAATTAAAATTTATCCCTATGATCTCATATTTTTGGGTTTTACTCTATGTGATAGCTATTTTTCTAGATATTTTTCTTTTCTTTTTCTTTTCCCTTGTTTCTTTTAACTTTTTCTTTAAGATTTTTTATTTTTTCTTTGTTTTAAGATAATTTGTTGTATTCTTTTAATTTGAAAGTTTTGATTTTTATAACTACTAATAATAGTTTATTTTTATGTTAGTGCTTAAGTATATTTTTTTTTGTTTTGTTTCGTTTTTTTTTCTTTTGTAATTTATTTAGATTTGGTAAAATTTAATATGACTAATTTAAGTTTGAATATGAAAAAATTTTTGTCTAAGCTATTGAATCCCATCCATTGTAAAGAAATTGAATCCATCCATTATAAAGAAAACCAACTACCCTGAATCTATACCACTTTGACACCAATTTCAAATGTGTTTAGAGTGTGCGCTAGAATTGTACTACTCATATCTGACTTATTTCCTTTTCTTAATTTTTTTTCGGTCGTGGCTTCTTGAAGGTCTTTCCATCTATACAACGACAGAACCCACGATTCAGAGATCATGGCTCTCAGTGACAGCACCAAGAAGCAGGCATTACATAAAGTACTATTTAAAAAACTGTGTAAGAGGTACTCTGTCATAGATTAATAATCTATTAATCTCCATATGGTGCGGCGAACAAAATTTTGTGAAGCATTATAAATTTAACCCTAGGAAATCTGAGGCCCCATGAATTCTGATACAAAACCACATGTAATCCCAAACAGTCGGTTCCCCCTGGTTCAATCTATTTCGGATTAACCAAGTAGCCTAACATACACAGCCGGAAAACCCAAAAATAAATAAATAACTAACAAGAAACGCACAGGAGAAATAGAAGATCCAAAAAAAAAAAAAGGCATGAAAATGAAGCAAATGTATACTTATAGCAGATCTTTGAAGGCCATTTTAGAGAACAGTGAATATGAAATTTCAGAAATTCGCTGGTTGAGTATACTCACAGTTCCTATAGAAGGAGACGCGCACCATGATTTCTCCTCTGTTACCGCTTCAGTAGCTGTGTGACGTCGATTAGAGACGAAGGCGAGAAGCACCGAACGGGAGGAAATTAAATCAGCGTTTATATGAGTAGATTGTGAGCCCAAGGCAGCCAGGAAGAGACGGGCCTATTCTAAAGCCCAATTTCAGTCTTTGTTGGCCTCCTGGGGTTGTGATCACATACTTTTTTTTTTTTTTAATAATATCTACCTCATTCATGTTTTTTCTATTTTGATTTTACAATCCTTTTATGTTGGAACCATTTAATATATATATAATAAAATTTTATGGCGAACTTAAATTTTCTTTTTTATATCCGTGGGAGCTACCCATGATGGTTTGATAAATTTAAAATATGTTGTGCACGGTTGAATGCGAACCACTTTGTACTATACACACTAGAATAAAGACATGCAAGAGTATGCCAGAAGTATGAATAAATACTTATTTAGATATCAATACAGAAAGAGATATTTTTCATTGTTTAAAAAAATAGTGAGTAATTAGATTTTTAAACTCAACATAAAAAATTAGGTACCTAAATTAATATTCTTCTCAAAGTATATAGACACCACGATTTGAGCGTTGTGCATTGAGTCGAGAGATTGTGCATCATATCAAGCACAATAATTCACAGCTTATTCATATTGTTTTCATGGTCGATGACACTGAGATAAATTATAAAGGAAACAAATATTTGAGCTAACTATGATTTTTAGCATTTTTTGTGTCCTCCGTACTTTCTTTTACCTTTTATTATTATTTAATCTCTACTTTAGGTATAAGTTTTTATGACTTCCTTTAGAATTGCTTAAAAATACCTCAAATTAATGATCAATAATGTGAGAGTTTGATCGTATTTGAAAAAAATGAAAATTATAGAAAATGTGAAATTCTTAATATAATTTTTTCACTTTCTTGGAGAGTTTAAGAATAGAAACTTATCCCAAACCATTCACACCGCCTTGCAAAAGATTACACAAAATTCGTAAATTTAAATTGAAAAGAGTTAGAGACACATCATATAACGTGGTTTCCTAGCATGAGTCATATTCTTACACATCTTTTTTCTTAACAAAATAATCGTCTCCCTGAACTCTCCTAGACTACTACAAATCAAAATATATAAAAACGCACTAATTTAATTAGAGATCTAGAAAGTTCATTAATATACATAATCATCATCGAAAATCATGTAATTGCTGTTCCTCCTCGATCTCTCTCGCTCTGCCTGCCAAAGTTTACGAATCATATCTATCAGGATCAAACTCTAGAGTTCTATTATTCTATAAAAATCATAACATATATATAAATTTACACACAAACCTTGTTCATAAGCCTTTCGAAAGCTTCAGTCCCATGCTCTTCCATGTACTTCTCAGCAGCACTTAAAACATCATCTGGAGTACTGAAAATATGTTTGGTTTTCTGAGGTATGTACCAGAGAGTAGAAGTTTGAGGGTTCATGTAGAATGGCCTAATGAAGTTCTTGTAAACGTGTGCTGCTCCATTGAAATGTGGCAGCACCAGCCAGCACATTATTATCAGCTTCACGTACTCCCAAATGGCTACCCTGAAATTAATTCATTAATTTCCATCAATTAAGCCCATACCAAATATATATACATATATAAGATAAAGAGAAAGAGGGAGAGAAATAAGTGAGAAAAGATCATTATTAATATTTATGAATTTTTATCTCAAAATTAATTGATAATAAGAAAAGTAGCACATATCTATAATAAACCTAAGTGAGATACTTAACAATTATGTTGCGAATAGTAATTATGTTGCGAATAGTAGATGATTGGTCTACTTACGCTTCGAGTATTTTGACGAAGGTGAGCTCGAAGAGAGTCATGAGAGAATATAAAACCCAATACGTGAGCCATTGTTGGTCGTCTACTATTGACTTTGTCTCTATAGCCTTGATTGAAGCATAACTATTTCAAACAAAAACAACCAATTAAAAGTATTTGAAATCCCAAAAATGTCTAAAAAATTGATCAGCAAAAGTATAAGTAAGCGTGATAGCTATCCTAGCTATTAACTAGGTAACTAAAGATTCAGCAGTTTTTAATTTTTTTCAAAAAGCAAAAAGAAATCTTATTTTCTACCTTTCCAATCTCTTTTATTTGTCAAAAGTTCAATAACATGGTTAATTGAATATTATTCCAACAAAAAATTCTAGTATTGGGAAGTAGGAAATGACTTGTTAATCAATTGAAAGAATTGGAAAATATCATTGGTATAGGTAGAGAATAACATCTTCATTAGTGTATGAACATCAAATTTATGAAGAGGTGGAGTTCATGGGAAATATATTATATTTCACTATGCAGCCAAAAATTTGTTTAGTTACAATTAACTTATAATCTTATTTTCTTACTTACAGGGGATACACGAGAGAAACCAGAGGCCTGCAAAATTGGAAGAAATTGAAGGAAAACAAAATCAAATATGATTCTAAGAAGAACAAATACAATTACAGGAAGACACAATTTTGAAGCAATGGAAAATTATCCCAGACGGGTATGATCCATAAGATGAGTGAAAGCGATTACAGAGCAAGCACTCCGAAGTTGTTGGCCACGACTTGAAGAAAATTCCCCGAACCCATAACTCCAAATTGAACCCAATTTTGTATTTGTGGTGCAGTGTAGCAAAGCAATGGGTGTGGTGAAAAGGGAAAATAAAAGAGAGAGGTGAAAGAAAAGGGAGTAAAGTTTGTCAAAAAGGACAGGCCAGACTAATTGTCCCTTCTCCGATAATTATGGGACACGCGAAAAGAGGCACCGATTTTCACAGTGGGTTATAATCAATCTCCTACGCTAACCCACACAAATAAAACATCCATTCACAGCTTGCCACATCCTTGTTTAAAATTTGGTTTTTGTTGCCACTCACAATTTAATATATAGCATATTCGCGGTAAATTAGGCTGAATTTGAATTGTATAATTGAAATTTGGCGTTTGGTATATAGTCAGGTGCTATTTAATGGTCCTGTAGTTTTGTGCAGGACAATAATAATATAATATGATCGTCCAAGGACATCAAATCATGCAAATTGGCCACTTTCATATGATCCTATTTATTCAATTAAATGTTACACTTGGGCTCTACGACTTAGGGCAGGATCGAAACATCTACCTGGTCACTGGTCAATGGTCAAGCAAGATATAAATGAATAAGACATTGCAGTGACCATGACGCCAAATATTGCGTAAGCGGAACCAGAGAAAGGCATTCACTAGCATTAGGGCATCAAAATGATAGGCCAAACGTAAAGCTTGCATACATTAAGGCTTACACACAGATAAAATATATTAATCCTTTCTTTCTCAAGCTTTGTTGAATTATATTAATGCCCTCTAAACTAAGCAGTAGTGGGCTTATAAACTTCATAAAGACAGCTATATCGAGATATTGTCATTTGTTTATAAACTATGCAATAATATATCTTTACCCGACCCGACACTTGCGAGGGTGGCGTATTGGGCTTGGGGTCGAATAGGGATACCCTCTCCGATTCGAGTCCCGCGGGATACATATAGTCGGAGGTTTTTTTTTTTTCATTTTGGAACAAATCTTGCAATGTGTTGTATAGCCATCAACACTTCAGACATAGGGATCCAAGAGAAGCCAACCGTCCTAGATTTCAGGTTATCAAGAAAAAAGAAGAAAGTTCCATTACCCTACCCAGATTTTACATCCAACATGACTCGTACAATTTTTCCCTCTTTTCTACTCTCTCTTGTGAACAACCTGATCATGCTATAAAAGTTGTTATTTATTTATGTAACATAGATTTTTGCACTATTAATTCTACTCATCGTGGAACATTGTTTTCATCCTCAACCCAGTTGGTTTCTCCTCGACACACCAAGAGCATTTAGGTTTAATAGAGCCTAAGAATTGAAAAAAAATAATAATAGAGAGATGGATAAGAAATAATTCGATAAATATATATAAGTGTCGCGAGAAACTAAAACTGCAGTCCAATTCATTGATATCCATATTCTCTTAATTCAGCTCATGGGGTAACTTAGGGGGAACAGGGAAATTAAAACACAAGCCAAATCCAAGCCTTTTTCATTTTTGCTTCTCAAATCATCAATTACTTACCAAATCCGTCACTACTATAAGACTAAAAATAAAATTTGCAGTTCTAGATGGAAACTCAATACACAAACCGCAAAATCAAAAAAATACCACTCTTTTTTTTTCTTCTTCTTCTTCTTCTTCTTCATCATCTCAATCTCTCCTATGTTGTAAATTGCAAGACCACATTTATACGGATATCGTATATTTACTCAGAAAATCAATTACTAAAAATAAAAAACCAAATTAAAGTATATATATATAATATATATATTTAGAGATTCAAAAGCGGCAGCCATACACTTAAATTTTGATGATCTCCGAGTCTACGATTGATCACGATTAGAAGTTGAGTCATGGCCATCATTTCCAGCAGCTTGATGTACAGCTCGTGTTGGAGATTCAGAAACTGATAATCCGGGCATGCTTCTGTAAGCACTAAGAGCCGCCAACATCCCCAAATGGCTGTCGGTGACGGTGACCGGACCGCCGCCGCTCCCGATTCCCGACCCCACCTGCTGGGCCGTCGGCAAAAGAGCCATGGGCGGTGGAATGTTCATGAAATGAAACCCTCCGCCACCGGCAACCGACTGTCCCC